TGTTTGTAAGTCACTTACGGTCAGGGCTCGAACGGTGTGTTGGTATATTAATGTTCATAACGTGTCCCTGGGTTAGCTTGTGTTTTCAACCCCTCTTATGATTGTCTGCCTTGTACCGAATTATTTCCTCCTGTGTCCAATCACCTGCACCTCCTCGGTGTGTTTAAACCATTGTCTCTCTCGGTTTGTCATTTTTTGGTTGGGTGGTGACGTTGCTGTTATCTTCTGCCGGCTTCCTCTTGTTCCCGCTCGCTCTTGGGCATTTTGGTATTCTTAGTAAATTGCTTTTAACTAAGGATACAAAATACCGACAGGAGCGAGCAGGGACAAGATCACGAGGAAAGCAGGAACAAGATTTTGCGAACATCATCACTCAAACAAACCAACGGCAGACGAGGGACACACATGGATAAATACACGGAGGAGACGCAGGCCGACAATCACGAAGGAACGAGACCTTTGGCTACCGGCTGTGTGGAGGTTCGTCCCACCACATCTAACTGCAGCGCTCCACCTCCTGCACGACCTCCGGCTCCTTCTCCACAAGAGGTGATGTTCCACGTCCCCAGAGGCAGCATCTGCCACCCGGGCCTGGTCCGTCCAAACCCCCCACTGCCACTGCCACCCATGCAGCAGCCCACCCCCCCATCGGCGAGCCCACGGGGAGGGGAGAGTAAGCAGGGTGCCGCGGCACTCCGTCGGCCTACACCTGCCCACCAGACGCTCTCCGTCGAGCCCTTCACCTCCGCCCTCCTCTATTTTGTTTTTTTTTAACCATTCTTGGTCTGGTCCCTCGCCTGAGACCTCTTTGCCAGGGGAAACCCTCCAGGAGCACCAGGCTCCAGACAACACAGCCCTCAGGTTCACTGGGACACGCAAACCTCTCCACCCCGATAAGGTGATGGTTCCTGGAGAGGACATGTGGCTATGTGTATGTGTTTAACTGTGTGTATCTATGTGTATGTTTTTAATTGTGTATGTGTGTTTAATTGTGTGTATCTATGTGTATGTTTTTAATTGTGTATGTGTGTTTAATTTTATGTATTTATGTGTGTGTATTTATGTGTGTGTATTTATGTGTGTGTTTCTATGTGTGTGTATTTATGTGTGTGTTTCTATGTGTGTGTATTTATGTGTGTGTTTCTATGTGTGTGTATTTATGTGTGTGTGTTTTTATGGTGGTGTTGTCGCTGTTGAACTCTGCAGCCGGGCGTTAGAATAGCTTGTACCACTTCTTCTTCGGCTTCTTGGGGATCTGCTGTTGAAGCTCTTCCAGCTGAGACAATAAACAGGTCTTGTCCTTCAGATGCTCCTTCTCCCTTTCCAGCGATTGTTCTGCGGTCTGAATGAGGGAAGAATTCTCCTCGTGCCATTGGAGACATTCACTCTCTCTGTCATCTTCAAACTTCTTCCGCAGAGCAGCTAGGAGGTTGTTGTGGTCCTCCTGCTGCGCCTCCAGCTTGGTGGCACAGGATGTTTCAAGCTGTACTGTCAGTTGCTGAAAGCTGAAGCTTTGCTTTTCTAGCAGATCTTCAGTTTCTTTCAGAGCTCTTGTGATCTTGTTAGTCTCTGCTCTCTGTTCCTCCAGCTGGTTGTGGGATGCCTGGTTTCTTTCAAACATCTCCACAGCCTCCTTCTCCATTGCAAGAACAGCAGTGATGTTCCTCAGCTGGGCATGTTCAAGGTCCTGGCATGTTTTTTCCAGCCTGGCTTTGAAGGAAGTCCTCTCCTGCTCCCACTCAATGGTGCGACTCTCCAGCTGCTGCTCAGCTTTCTCCACAGCGGCCAAGAGGTCTTTGTTCTTCCCTTTTTCATTGTTTTGGTCAAAGGAGTTTTCCAACATGGCAGACTGCAGGCATTCTTTCTCCTGCTTCCATTTCAAATGTTCACTCTCCAGCTGATCTTCAAGCGTTTTCTTCAGAGCAGCTGTGAGTTTTCTGTTGATCTTGTCTTGCGTCTGCAGCTTGTGAAGAGTTTCTTCCCGTGAGGAATTCAGCTGTGTCTTGAGGGAGGTCGTTTGCTGACGGAGTGTTTCCAACAGACTATCGGTAACTTCCGTGTTCTTGATGGTCTCAACTTTCTGTTTTTCTAGCTGGCAGGTCAGGGAAGACTTCTCCTGCTGCCACTGACGATGTGCATTCTTCTGGTCCTGCTCAGACTTCTTCAGAGCAGCCGTGAGCTCTATGATAGCCTTCGTCTGTTTGGCCTGATTAAGTTTGCAGTCCTTGTGCAGCTCCATCTCAGTCTGCTTGATGGTCACCTGCTGAGTGGGGACGTTCTCACCCAGTGCTGATTTCAGGGCTGCTGCCATCTTCTCTGTTTCCGCTCTCTGTTGCCTCATCCTGTCCATATGAAATTCCTTGAAATCTTCCGTCAGATTTTTTACTGTCTCCTGCTCATTTCTGAGAGCTTCTGACAACTTTGTCAGTTCCATGTGCTGCTTCTTTGTTTGAGCCCTCTCGATTTCCAGGTCATTTTTCAACTCCAGGTTAGTTGTAGCTGCTGAAAACGATTTCATTGCAGCACCATCCAGGGAAGTTGGGATCTTGCTTCTGGCCTGTTCTAGCTGTGCTTTCAGGCTACACATCTCCTTGTGTACATCTCCATTCTTATAGTCTTGGAGAAGATCGAGGAACTGTTGCAATCTGTCCTCGTCGATCTGGAGGAGAACTCTCCCCACAGATTCGGTTTGGGTGAGCTTTGCCCGGCTGTCCTTAAGCTCAACCCGTACTTGTTCCTCCAGTGAACGTAGGTAAAAGTTCATTGGAGGATCAACAACCTTGGAATTGACTTCCATTTTCTCCGGCATGGTGTCTTTTTGCTGGACGTTGGTCATTCTTTCTTTTTCTCAAGTGGTCTCTGAAACAAACGTATGTCTGATCTGAAATCCTCTCTGAAAAAAACGATGTCTGATCTGAAGTGGTCTCTGGAACAAACTTACGTCTGATCTGAAGTCCTCTCTAAAACAAACTGATCTGAGAGTGGATCAGTGAACACTTCTTAAAGCATTCCGTGATGTCATCAATGTTTCCCTTTGATGTCTGTAGATGTGGAGATTGTTGCTATGGGATACCGATTTGGCATAGTTATTATGGGATAGCATTATGGTGCTGTTGCTATGGCATACCGATCGCCTTCTTTTTTTCATCTTTGCTATATTACTACTTACGCTCTGCGTATTACTATATAACTTTCCTCGTTGAATGTCATACATTTGAATTGATGCTGCAAATCAGTCCTTTTTTTCTTTTGCAGAAATAACTACATAAAAAAACATTAAAGAAAATACAATCGTCAAATGCAGTCTGGATAAAATGATCCGTAAACAGTTTTAATGGTTTAAATACAAATACACTGGAAACAAAGCTGGAAAAACATAAATCCAAAACCCAAGAGAAAAAAAGCAGTTCATAAATGAATATGAACATTTGTTCAATATAAATGAACATTAAAGAAAATATAATCGTCAAATGCAGCCTTTCAATGGATTGGTCTGTTGTTATGCCTTATATATTTTCAATTTATTTCTGTTTGTTAAGAAAAACTGGCACCAGGGCGGTGTTCAGTTGGCCTTGAACGTTATATATGAAGTTATGGATTAGGGAGACACGCAGACAAGTACCGCTTTGTTAGAAACCTGTTCTTTATTTAACTTTTTCCCCCCAGCAACAACGGTTACCTCACAAAGGTTCCTAGGCATTACAACTAACACTACATCCCCCCTTTTGACTTCCAGATGCCTTCTACAATGATGCGTGACTAAACATTGACCCTCATGTAAAGAAAACAGTTATCATTGTTTTCCTTTCACTCCTCTTAAATACAATAACATAACCAGGTATTTAACTTGCACCGTTCAAATATGAAATACATGTTGGCAACATGGAATAGCTATAGTGTAAATATGCATTCATGTCCAAATCAAACGATTGACATTTTCACTTTCAACATTCTACCTCTCACGTTTTTGAACCTCATTCAATCATAAACCCTTTTAAATTTGCGTATTTAACAAACATTAACACCTTAGCTTTTACAACGCTTTTCAGGTAACATATCCCCCCTTTTACGAACAGTCACAGTCAATTAAATACGCCGGAGGTAGTCTCACTCTGGAAGGGACATGTCGCTCTTTTACAGGCGGCATAAAGCCCCCCCGCCCCCCGTCGGCCGTAGCGTCCAGCGGACCCCCCCAGTGTGTAAACCAGGGTCACGCCCCTGTAACTAGACCTTAAGAGGAAAAGGCGTTTAATGGATGATTTCAAAATAACAGAATCACTTGGGAAGACTGGTGGTTTCATCTAATTGCAGCAACAGAATTATTAAATATATATTAGTGTCTGTTTTTATTGAACTATATACTTACCGTTACCGTTAGTGTTATTGATAATCATGTCTCCCTCCTCACGGACGCAGTTCATCTCTCCGACGATAGGTGGCTTTGTCCCGGACGGGACATCTCGACCTGCCCCGGTGCCGCGGTGTATGCTGGGAAATATAGGATCAGGTAAGCTGCTCCGCTACTGAATGGTCAAGTGAACTCATGTATCTGTACAAATGCAGGAAGTCATGATACTTTGTCTTCAAAATAATGTAGTGGTGTTTTTAATGTAATTTGCAAGGGGATACACGTCATTATAAAGTAATTCATCAGATTTAATCAGATTATATTATATTTGTCTCTGAAATTAAATAGTTAGGCTATCCTCAAGTTTAGTGCAATCATGCTAAACTTGAGGATAGCCTAACTATTTATTTTCCTGTGCCAGTATAGTTCCTCGACCCTAGGAACTATACTGGCAGACTATGGATACAAGCCATTATTAAGCCTTAAAATAATTAAAATAATTTGGTCAATATTATTTTACAAAAATCCAATACGTTATACTTCGGTAGCCTACCATTCATAGTAATGTTACAGAAGTAAAACGCACAAATGTGTGCATATCACTTTTACTCTGAAGGTGAGAGCCGGAAGTTGGGTGTGCTGTTAGCTAGCTTAATGCTAATGTGTTTGTGATGACAGGAGGAGCCGAGGGCTGATGAAGCAGCAGGTGAATCAGTTAGTTTTTTGTTTATTACCGTCTCACCTGTTTAACAGTTAAACAACATTGAGCAGAAATGTAGCGCTGTACACGACTAGTTCCGCTTTTCAAATAAAAACAATAACAATAGAGAAGAGGGGAGAAAAAGACGATACCACGCCGCCGGAGCCCGTGTTTAGCAGGTAACGTGGGCTATAAATAACTTTTAGTTCATGTGGCTCTGAGGTGAAGCCTGCGTGTTTTGTCTGTGTGTTGATATCGCGTCTCTGAGCGTAATCATCGTCCTTTGTTGTCCACAAAAGACGATGATGTGTTCTCCAAAGAATGGACGGAAATAGCTCGTTATGTGACGCAGTCGTCATTTTAGACTTTTGTTGGGTTTAAATTAGCCTAAAATGACATGATCCTCCCACGTGAGTAAACCGATCCTGAGCTGCACACAACAAACGCAACATGTGCACACTGTGTCCGTCCTTTCCATATGTTTCTATGCGTCATGTTGTCTAGTACAAAAGAACGTGTTGAACTGCTCTTCTGCACGAACTTCAACATTTCTATTGTCCAACTATTGTCTTCTCTCAGAAACGAGGGAACTAAACGTCATGTGTTTTCAGTATGAGATAACATGTTCTTCTTCCTGTCCCAAGTCAAGTATTATTGTGTACATGGTAAACAAAAATACTGCATTTGAAATCTCGGGCATAGACCTTGTCTGATCATCTTTATCCCATATCCATTTTCATTGATAATGATCAATTTCTTGATTGCACTTAATGTTTGAAAATCAACAATAAATTGCAGCCTTTTATTTTGCCTGGAGAAAAGGTACGAGTTAAATCTAAATTCAGTTTAAGAGCAGTATACTGACTTTGAAATACTTTAAATTAAATTTTTTTTATATATATTTTGAATTTGCATGCAGAGAATATTCCAAAATAATTCATTGGAATGTAATTCTATTCTACAGCTGCTTATACTACTGCTTATTCCATTACCATTATATATAACTACAGTATTTGAATATACTACATAAGTACTCTCTCACGCTCCCTGTGCTGCTGCTACCACTAAGTACTACTTATACTGCTTCTAATACTACTATTGCAGTCTCAAAACTCCCAATACTACATCTGACACTTTCACTATTGTATTGCTTCTACTACTAATTCTAACTGCTCTTAAAATATTGACTATTTCTAATGATTCCACAAGCTTACACTGCTTTGACCTTTACTGTTCCTTTCTCTTCCCCTCCTAGAAGCACCACAATAATCACTGCTTCTACTATTCATGTGTGCGTCCTCTTTGTGCCGTTCCCATGTCAGTTGCTGTAAGCGGAGGATCCTCGTAGTCGGAGCCATGTCGGCGGAGGAGATTCTGTGCAACACTCAGCAGGTGATCGCCGGCCTGGAGGCGCTGAGAGGAGAGAACCGCAGTCTGCTGGAGAATCTGCAGGAGGAGATGGAGAGCGGCAGTGTGGAGCAGGAGAAGAGCGGCATCGTCCGCCAATCACTGGAGCGGATCGAGCTGGGCCTGAGCGAGGCGAAGGTACTTGGATCCCTGTATTGTGTTTTAGATCATTCTTCTGGTTCCGTGGCTCACAACTGCTTTCGGTCACTTTTGCTGTCTCACATATGCTTCTCTGAAATAGCCGGCAGCTGCTGTTCTGTGTGCATGTTGTTAAAAACGCACTGAACGCTACTCGCTGATCCCCAAATCAGAGACCCGCACAGCTGGTGGACATGGTGAAGCCTTTAGCAGCTTAAGAGACAGCAGTTGTTTCCTCAGGAGTTGGTGGCAACCACACCAGATATGCTACATTTCATGTGACAATAGACAACATTTTGTTAACAAGTCATATCATCTTCATAAGGTGTAGTTTTTGCAGCAAAATTATCAATTTACTCTTTTTTTATAACTGATGCAATGATCAATGTTCAAAGGTAGTCATCAAAGTAAAGCTTTGTCCTGAGGATCGATCAAGCAACATTAAAGGTAGACAAGAACAAATAAAACTGTTTACAAGAGAAGTTTGATTTAGGTTTAAAGAGTGCAGTAATGGCCTCAGTAGTTCATCCTTTGTGCGAGAGGTAATGTCTCAGCTGTCTGTTGTTCCTCCAGGTGATGATGGCGTTGTCGGCTCATCTGGGTTCACTGGAGGCGGAGAAACAGAAACTACGTGCTCAGGTGAGTTTCTCCTGGTCATCTTAGAAAAAGAGAAGATTAACCAAAGCGGTGAATAATAAATGGGAGATGCTCTGATGTTGTTAGTCTTCGCTGAGCTGTCTGAACCCTGACGCTCACTGAAACGCTGCTCATAACCCGCACCTCCCTATCTCCTTATTGTGTCCTGCTCCTCAGGTGCGGCGTCTCTGTCAGGAGAACCAGTGGCTGAGGGACGAGCTGGCCGGTGCTCAGCAGCGGCTGCAGGACCGAGAGCAGGTGGTGGTCACCCTCGAGGAACAGAACAGACACCTGCAGTTCATGTCCTCCATACGCAAATACGACCTGGAGGAGCCGCAGCTGGTGAGGAGTCCAGCAAAAAGAAGCACGAATGTGTATTTTTAGGAGGGGATTGATGACAAAGGATCGGATGTGTGGAAGAAAACAATGTGTCCTTGTTTCTGGACGGATCCAGGGGAACCAGGCAGAAATACGTAATTAAATTAAAACCAAAGAAAGTTGTTTCGCCAGTGTATTCAAGCCGGGCACCTTAGAAAATCGCTGCAATAATTGGGCGTTGTTGGCATTCGGCTCTGTTCCATTAAATCAGAAAGGACATGCAGTGAACTCGCTGTTGACACGTCCAGAGGAGGAACCGTATATGTTAAAGATTATAAGAGGCAGTGAATTCATTTTAGAAGGGTGTGGGGGGGGTCAGGGGGTGTTTATATATTGTAACACAGCGAGTCACTACATTACCAACCTTTAAGTAACTCCTTCACATTGTCTACCTAGTTGGTCTCTTCATGTATCTGTCTGCTGCTTGGTGGTGCTGAGATATTTTTCAGTAGATTTATTACTGCCCGCTTGCACAAAAACACCTGCAATGCGTCGGTGAGATCACTCCCCTTAACTAATTAGTCAATGTGCTGCTAAAATCGAATCAATAACCAAAAGAGGTGAAAAAAATCCATACAGAATCAGAATTGGAAAATCATTTTCTGCTTGTGACCATGACACACCACTTAGAGAAATTTGCGTTAGATAAAAATATAAATAGTACTGAACACGTAACGTATTTAGAATATGATGAATATGTTTCTGCACTTCCATCTTTTGTGTCTGTCTTCAGGAAGACAAAGACACGTCTTCCACCAAAGAGTCTCTGGATGACCTTTTTCCTACTGAGGACGAAGAACCGTCGCAGAGTGAGTCTCTTTACCAGTAACACCAGTATGTGCTTCGATCCCTCCCAGCATAAATAAGACCTTTCCATCTTTGTCTAAATGAGGGACAGTCACATAGTCTGTTGGCATCATCACAAGAGAATCTACGATCACTTAGATTGTGGAAAAAGCTACAAAAGCTCAGAAAATCTTACCGCATGAGACTGCTGATGAGAAACTGTTTTCTATTATTTGGGTGAACTGACTTAAGGTCAGGTCATATTGTTTGTGTAGATTCATTGCAAATCTCTTGATTTACTGGGTTTTCTCATCTAGCTAAATTAAAATAGAGAATCAATTTGTTTATTTAGTTTTATTGCAGCTGTTCAGCGAGAGCTAAAAGCTGAAGTCCAACTCCTACACTGCTTTAAAACAAGGATCAGTGTTCAGGGTCGGTGTTCTTGGGTAACTTGTAAGGGCAAGCTAGATTCTAAAAAGGACGCAGCCCAATGTCGGCATCTCTTATGACATGCAGCTAGCAGAAAGAGCTCCACACGCGCATCAGATATTAGACTTTGTGTCAGATAACTTGGTTTACTGATTGCTTACATTCTGTGTGCTTGTTGCTGTTCAGTGTCCCAGCCTCATCACAGCAGTGCAGCAGCCGCAGCCCAGCAGGGCGGCTACGAGATCCCCGCCCGCCTTCGCACACTCCACAACCTTGTCATCCAGTATGCATCCCAAGGTCGATACGAGGTCGCCGTGCCACTCTGCAAACAGGTGGGAGGGTGTTCACCTGCAGCTGCTCCCTCTCTCCACGTAGCCTCTAACCACAGTTTTATAAATGTAAACCTTTTCTGTACCAATCAGTTGACCAAAAGCATCTTATTTTGGTTTGATTTCAACAGGCTTTGGAAGATCTGGAGAAATCGTCAGGCCACACCCACCCGGACGTGGCCACCATGCTGAACATACTTGCGCTGGTGTACAGGTGAGACCTGTCACCACTCTTTGAATTTTTAGGACTATTTATGTTTTCATGATGTTCATTCTACTTGCAAATGAGTCTCCATCCTGTGTAGCAAGCTGAGCCTCCCAAATTGGTCCCCAAAGTGCAACCTTTTGGGATGTTTTTTGAAGCCTAGGTCTATCGATTGATGCTCAGCAGACCAATTATTACAGCCGTGATACATTAACCTCTAATAAATGTCTCCACACTTTACATCTCTGCAAAATATATCGTACCATAACTGACTTTTATGACTTTTATCATCAAATCTTTCATGAACTTAAAGCTCACAATGGAATGCAATTAGCGGGAAATTGAAAACCTGATTCAACACCAGTGATTTTATATGAAACCTTTATTTTAAGGTGACACTCAGTGTGACTTGTTTTTTCTCATTAGAGATCAGAACAAATACAAAGAGGCAGCCAACCTGTTGAATGACGCGTTGGCCATCAGAGAAAAAACTCTTGGAATGGACCACCCAGCTGTAAGTTTATCGAGTAGCTGATCATGAGGTGACCTCTGACCTCAGAACCAGCTGAGACGTAAAACAGACGTTGATACTTGATCTTTTCTTTTCTCTCCAATTGTACGGTTTGATCACCTTCAATCTAACCTCAAACCTGTCTATAATAACCCAAAGGGTATTATATATTTTAGTTTTTAAATGGAGTTTATCAGACATTTTATGTATTGTACATTGTGTGTCTTGTGTGTGTTTGTGCAGGTGGCAGCAACGCTCAACAACCTGGCAGTGCTTTATGGGAAAAGAGGGAAATACAAGGAAGCGGAGCCGCTGTGTAAAAGAGCTCTGGAGATCAGAGAGAAGGTGGGAGAATACGCTCATTTTTATTACTAAACACAGAACACAATTTGTTACGGCTATACCATGAATATATCTTTTTATGACTATAACATGACAATATGGCTTAACATTAGCATTGCGTCATTGGACAAGTATACATATTGAAAACAAACTCCCTGAGGACCTCCTGTCACGTGATCTCCTCCCAATTGTATTTCCAAACGTAAAAAGAACCCTTTTAAAACGGAGTCCAGTAGAGACCTTTTTGGAGTACACTTGACATTTACGGTTGTGCTCACAGGCCCCTGAGGCTAGTGGTTGTCCACAGTTAGCAGGACAACTTGGTTGGCGTGTGAACTGGTTCAAATGCGCGTGTGTCACGGTCAATGCGTGCGGCCTTAAGAACCCTGCAATGAGTTTATTATTTTAGATGTGTTTTGAGAAGTTTACTGTAACGCACGCTCTCATCCAGCCGTGGAAACTCTACTGGCTGGCTACCGTCGCCAGCAGACAGAGCAGGCAGGTCCGCGTGGACCTCTGCCCTCACCTCACACGAGTCTTTATCTCCAGACACAACTTGAATCGCTTAACTCTCGGACGTTTAGCCTGCTAACTTAGCTAAACTGAGACGGCTAAACCAAGGAAGTGCACACGTGTCACGTCGTCGCGGTCTGTAGTCCGTGCACAGGAACCACCGCTGGCACCGACCACCTTCACCCCTCAACCCCCAATGTGTCTTCCATGTAATCATCATTGAAATAATGTGTTTTCCCGCCTCAGGTTCTGGGCACAGACCACCCGGATGTGGCCAAGCAGCTGAACAACCTGGCTCTGCTGTGTCAGAACCAAGGGAAATACCAGGAGGTGGAGCAGTACTACGAGCGCGCTCTGGACATCTACCAGAGCAAACTGGGCCCAGACGACGCCAACGTGGCCAAGACCAAGAACAACTTGGTGAGCGGACACCTCGATGTCATGTCTGATTAATGCCAAATATAAAATATGCCCTGTAGTTGGCGTTGCATCATTACGGCCATAAGGTCTTTCATTACTTTACATTCATTTAGACAACTTTTCATCGAAGTGTCAGTAGATGCATTTAACTCTGTGGGTACAAATCCAAATATGTAGTAGTCAAATACACTTGACTGCCTCACATATTTCTATATGTTATACATGTAAATTGTGAAGACCTATGATCTACCTTTGTGTGTCTTTGCTCTCTGTCAGGCGTCATGCTATCTGAAGCAGGGGAAGTACAGGCAGGCTGAAGCCCTTTACAAGGAGATTCTGACCAGAGCCCACGAAAAGGAGTTTGGCTCTGTAGAAGGTGCAAAACTGTTGGTTTTTCTAGTTTTTTTGCTGCAGCATTATTATATATTTTGTTGAAGGCTTGTCATTTTGGTTTGTTTCATGTCTGCATGAACCATCGCTGCATTTTACAAAGATTTGAATGAAACTTAAATAACACTAAATATTTTATTTCGCAACCTGGGTCTTGTTTTTATCGTCATTTTCATTTGTCATGATGACTTTTACAAATACAGTAAAATGCCCCTGGAGGGCTGAATATATCTGTGTGGATGTTTTTCAAAAACTTTTAGAATGATGTTGAAATACAGTCATGACTAGCTGAAGCCCCGCTATGTCAGCTGTGCTTTTATTTATAAGTAGAAATATATTAAATACTCAACATGCATTTATGTAAAACACCCAAACTCTTTCTTATGGAGATATTTACAAGTCAAAAATACTGAAATAGTATCAACATGGCAGCTTCCACAACAACCTCTTTTTGTGAAGTTTGAGACGCTGCGTTTTAAGGCTGCTGGTACACGCCGGGGAGACATTGTGTCTATACAATTATTTTGTGACTTAACTATCATCTACCAGATACTAAAGCGCTGTGGATTTTATATTGACAAGGCCAAGTGACTGGCAACGTGCTCCAAAATGTAGCTGGGTCGTCCTTCACCCATCCGTGTTCAATGACAAGCAGAGAGGGAATCACCAGACGCTCCATGATACAATATAATCATGATGGTTGTTCCAATACGCTCTCATTGTTGGCTCAAACATTGAGATATGCTGAGAACTTCATTGTATTTGCAATGATAGTTCATATAAAAGATTGATCCTCTTCATCCATGTATCGATATTGCGATGCTACGCTGCATCGACTCAATGACCACACTATGTCCGTGCTACAGGCGATGGTCGTCCCAGCTGGTCCAGCGCGGAGGACACCGGCTGCGGACAGGATGGACTCAGTAACCTGAAGCGCAGCGGCTCCTTCACCAAACTCAGAGAGTCGATTCGTAGAAGCAGCGAGAAACTGGTCCGCAAGCTGAAAGGAGTCGGAATGGAGGAAACTACCCCGAGGAATGCTGGGTAATGTTCTGCTACAAAGGTGGTTTTGTGTGTGTGTTTATTTGAGGGTGTTGTGGCAGTTTTATGAAAGGGGTTTATTTGATATTCCGCCCTGCTTTCAGAATGAAGAGGGCGAAGTCTCTGAATGTGTTGAATGTGGGAGCCATTGAGAGTCCGGATGGGGCCCAGGTGAGCCGACCAGTTTGACAGGGATTCATTCTTTAAGTCGTAAATGGGGCTGATTCTCACAGTTTATAATTCAATTTATTTTACATAAACAATATAAAAGACTTCTTTGCTAACAGGCTAGTTAGACATGCTGTCTAAACACCAAGTTTTAACAAAGCCCACTTTTGTATCCCAGTTAACCCAGTTACAATTGAAATACTGACATACGAACGGGTCCTCGTTACGTCTCTGACTTCCCTTTGACTTTAGCCGCTCACTCGTTGACGTCCTTTGTCTCTTTTTCTTTCGTGATCAGCAGTCGACCTGTTTGACAGAAGTTCGCGCCCTGAGCTGCAGCACACAGAGCTTGACCAGAAGAGGTTCGCTCGGTGGATCCAGCTAACACACACTGGAAAAATGTACACGAATATATCCTACACCACCGTGGAGGCCCCACCGTGGGTCCCCTTAGAGAAATCGAAGATAGTTGTGGAGATGGTCAAAAATCTCATTTATTTACTAAAAGTAACGGTAAATGAAAGGATTTCTTGGCTATTGAAGTGTCTCCAACAGTGTGCTCACACACATATCTATATTGCACTATAACCTTTCCTTCCTGTTCACTTGAAACTCAATATCATTCCTTTCTGAATTTAGGTTAGAAACAAGCAGTTTCCTCAGAATTTAGAAGAAAAGAATCATGTTTGACTATTTAAACTACACAAGAATTTATACCGTTTACAAGGGGATTTCTTAAAGATAAATAGGCACATTACAGATTATCTTTTTGAAATGTGTTGACTATAAAAATGTAATTGTTACACTTGATTTAAGACGAGGATGTTGTGCTAAAGTTTAAACTCATTTACCGTAGATGTGTGTTGCCGTTACAATGAGAACGTCACTCCGCTTATAGAATTTGTGTCAAAGCAAATCATAAAACTACAAGTGCGTTCATTTGAGCTGTTTTACGAAGGTCCAGTTTTCACATTACAGGAATACATTTAATTTTAATTAAGACAAAAACGCCTCTTGCACATAATGAATGCAAATATCTGACATGTTAGATGGTATTTTTCCTAAAATAAATGATATTTTTGCACATTTTCAGTTCCCAATAATAACACATTGTATTTTAGCGCTTTGAGTGGTCAGAAGACTAGAAATACGCTATACAAGTACAGTATTTATAGATATATTTTCATTGCACTAAAGTCACAACACATTTTTCTGAAGTCGTCAGGATAAGTTGTTTCATGCCTGAGTCAGTCGGAGCTCAACATTGTTCATTTTAACATAATCCACAAACATTTCCTGAAATCGCTGAATTGAGCCGTTTACTCAGACACACATTTCTGCTGTCAAACGCTGACATATAACGCTAATGGTGAACCTGTTACTGTCAAACCACAGATACAAAGTCCTGTAGACCCTAACGGCCGTAGAGACGAGCTCAACTAACGTGTCTATTTTGTTTACGCTTGTTACCTGAAATCAACTCACTAATATACATTAATGAAATAGCTTATAATGTCCGGTGTATTTGTGCTCTTTTTTTAGTTTGTTATAACCATCATTACTTTAACTAGTTGTTTTAAAGTTAATATGCAATAGCAATAAATAACTTATTTTAAAAACTTCATCTTTAAGAATGCTGAAAGTAGAGATACTGATTTAATGACATGACATTTTTCCACAAAACTCCGATCTTACATTTTATCTTCAAACATTGTATATTATCATTTTAAAGATGCATTTTCCATGACGTAGAACTGCATTTGCTGTGGTAGAGAATGGGATCATTAGTTTACTCTAGAAACTACAGTGTTTATGAAAAACATTACATCTAAAATGGGGAGAATTTGAAATATTAATCTCATGATATTGTGTATTTGGTAAATGAACGTTTATTTTATATTTGAGCTGAAATAAAATTACTAAAGGTCTGTTAGTCTGGGAATGTTTATTTATCTATAAGGGCTGCTTCTTTAACTCTGCTTGGATAGCATATAGTCAGATTATTTATTTATTCATGTATTTGCTTTAGGCAGGATTGAGAGACAATGAAAAACAAGTTAACTCACCAACTCAAACATTTATATTTGAACAGATTATTCAAGTTCAGTATAAAATGTGACTGTACAGTGGCAAAACAAACATTAGTCTTCTCTGTATGACAGATGCAACATGTTGATCCACAAGTTCTTTAATATTGCTCGTCTTGTGTACGATATGCGTCGAAAGGAACAATCTGTCAGGTCTGGTGAGCGATCTGACTAATTTTCTTTAGCATCTCTTCTGACTCCAGCTGCTCGAGAGTCAACAGCGAGAGGCCCAGCTGGTCCTCCTGGAGAGGAAAACGAAAACGTGATGCATCCAGCCACAAAACCCAGTAACGTCCTGCACGCTAACATGCTGCGACGGACACGAGGAAGATTGCACATAAGTCCTCTCTGGACTTTTGCTATCTCACAAAGATCGTCAAATGTTTATTCTGTGATCACTAGACATCGTTAATTATGCTGTAAAATTATCACTTTGACAAAGCATTGTGTCACAAGATCTAATTTAATTTAACTAAATTAAAACACTTTACCGTCCAGCCTGTGGCCTTTTGCACTAAAGAGGTAAACTTGCTAGTTTACTTTTAGCGTTTATATTCTTTTCAATTAGTTGTGCCTGTAAACTCCCTTACGTCGGCCACCCGGGATAGCTGCAAAATGTGTGGTGCGTCGTACTTGTCTGAAAGGCTGCGCCATCTGTCGCAGAAAGTGCTTGGAGAGCTGCACCGTCTCGTCCACGGTGAGGTTCAGACTGCCGTCGTTGATGTGTTCCTGAATCCAGCGAGGCAGCTTCCCCCGCTTGTCTGCACGGGCGTAACGCTGCGGACGGGACAGGGAGTCGCTCACTCAATCAGACGCTCGACCGCTGCTGTGAAGCTAAAGGCCGTGACGCTGTATTCACGCACCTTATCGGCAAAGATCATGATGCCGTAGTCGGTCTTGCCTCGGATGACTCTGCCCACACACTGGGCGGCGTGACGCATGGCGTCAAACGTGAGAAAGTCGTTCTCTCTGATCTGAAACTGATCGCGGAGGTACTCCAGACGAGCCTAAAACAGATTGTAAATCTTATCAATGTTAAACAGTGAAGGGAAAAGCGGTTCAATAATTCATTTTGCTGTTCAGATTTCCGGCACTATTATAAATATTCATCTCTAATGCATGACAGTCTTTCCTCATCTATAAAATGTGATCGATTGCGTTGTGTTAAAGGCGCCACCATGACTTGATTGTCAAATGGATAAATGTAACGTAATATGGCTTAAATACATATATAATAAATAGTTTGATTTTTACAGAAAATATATTGTTTAAAATCAGGCTGACTGACTCACATGGCACACGACATAAATAAAATTGTGATAATATAATAACAGGTCTGACCTTGAGGATGCGACTCTGGGTGTAAACATACGGAACTCCAAACATGATGACCGCTCGGCCAAAATGGTGCACTGAACAGAAAACAGGAAAAGATTAAAAGCATTTATTTAACACTTTCTCTAAATCCGTATTTTGTCTGTACCCGTAAGGCAGCGTGTGGCCTACCAAAGTCTATTCCTTCAGAGACCTTCCCCCGGGCCACAGACAGGAGGATGGCTCCTCTGCCGTTCTCACATGCCTGACAACAACAAATGTCAAACGTCAAAAGTCTGCAACAAAAGACTTTATTACTTTTTCCGTAGTTATCAATTAATCCCTTTGAGGAATTTACACAAATTGACAACCTCTGAAAATAGATTTCCTTTTTTCTTGATTCTTATACATAGAGTAGATTATTATGGACTGAGAAGCGAACAGGCGTCGTGTCATCCATCCATTTAGCACCTGTCTGTATATCCCAATTACAGACGTCTGTGACCATGATAACAATATGCATAAAAAGGTGCATGACCGGAGTCTCTGACCTCCTGGTACTTCTCCAGGGCCATGCTGGTCTCTGCAGCGTCCGGAGTCTCGATGAAGATCAGCTTGTTTCTCTGGATGTTCTCCAGGATGCCCTGCAGATAAACAAAAACACATGAACACAATGCGTTGGGCTAAATGCTTGGTGACACAAATAGTTTTCCTGTTCAATAAAGCAAACATTTTTAGACGTTATTATGATTGTTATCATGGTCATAAGTGAGAAGATAAATTAGGATCGATCTTAATAAGAACCAGCAGCCTTCCGGGTGTCCGTCCACACACTGACCTGCTCATACCAAGATGCCACTATGTTCTCCATGTACACGTAGCTGGTGAAGAACGCCACGATGCCGTCGGGAACTATCGCAGACATCTCTAGGAGTAGGTTGCCATAGTTACGAATCACAGCTGTTAACAAAAAGAAAAGGGAATCACTCATTTAAGAGAACAGATTTTTTTCAGTTCTGTAAAAGCCTATAAATGCAACTCTAAAATACACACACACACACACACACACACACACACACACACATATATATATTGTGGGGCCTCTAAGACACTGTACTGTAATAAATAATAAGACATTTCTACTCACCAAAGTCTTCTCTGGTCTCAAACTTTGAGCTCAAGGCCACTTGATCATTTCCCCTCCCAACAATCTACGTGGGACAAAACAGAAGGACAGTATTTAACAATTCTGCATCAATATATATATGTGTGTAGATGTGTATAAATGTGGTGAAAGTCTTTAATGTTGTCAAGAATACAGTGTTTTTTTATGTCAGAATTGTGATTTTCAGCCCTTCTCTCGTTCCCTAATTGCTTTTGCGAGTATCTGTGTGTGTGTGTGTGTGTGTGTGTTGGAGAGTAGTTACACACTAGAGGACAGAGGCAGGTCCGTGCCAGCGTCATGGTGAAGGACGCCATGGTAACGGGGCGGAAGTCAAGGATTCGGGGATAGATGTCCAGTGGAGAGAGAGTCTGAGGAGGTCAAACAGGAGTTCATCAGGTTAAAATACATACTGATCCTTTTTTTCCCAAAATGCATAAATCTTCATGACTGTTGACTGAGCAGTGAAAACACCCAGAGACGACTCACTAACTAACTTACCCCTGAGGTGATGATCACTGACTGGAATCTTTGAAAAACAGGTTTGATGGCAATAGAGGGGTCCATACAACTGAGAGAGGATCAAAGATCAGAACAGTCACATTTCTGAGAGATTGAATATTGGATATCAGCAGTCTGCACTCGGGGGGCCACAAAGTGAAAGTGTTAGTGGGCGGCCTTCCTTCTCATCGTGGCTGTAACAAAGTCAGCCAACGCAGGCCATTTAACAAACGTTCTTTGATGTTTTATATGCAGGTTTACAAAATGCACACATCAGACAATAAACCTGCACTCATTTTCCAATAATCACTGGACTGGGTTGAGAAACAGCAGCAAAGGGACAATAAGCAATGACACTTTCCAACATTAACAAGTGCATCTGTGTATTTGCGCCCACCTGAAGTGCAGCACGGGGTTTGCGATGGTTGGAGTTCTGTCCTCGAAGGGCTCAATGATTATGGTAAATCCTTCAGACAGACGCAGAGAACAAATGTTTAATAAAGTGCACCCATAAACCTACAACCAAGAGGAGTCAACAAAGATCTACCACACATCCCACTACAAGCACAACGTGGGTTAACTAGAAAGATGCAATCAGCACCAGCGCACGTCTGCCTGAGGTCCTTAAGCACGCAGACAAAACCCAGACAGACACGAGGGGCCCAGTCACTCGCGGACTGCAGCCGCTGCTCCGGCAGTGTTTCGATACCTTGGCTGTATGTGCTGACCAGGGTGGCAAAATTAGAGATCAGGGTGACAGCGGAGAAGTCTGCGATGTCTGCGATTTCCAGAGTTCTCAGTAACGACTGTAACCGTTCTGAACAGAACCTGGAGAGGAAACACAGCACCAGGGAACAAGGCAAGGGGTCGAGTGAAGGTGGAGACTGATCAAGCAAGAAAGTGAGCGAGTACACGGTGACTTGAGACAGCAGAGTATTCAGGGACCGTTTTAATGCACTCTTGAGGTTGAGACTGACCTCAGAGGCTTGCGGTCGATGCAGACTTTGTCAAATATGTCCTTGAGGAACTGCGGGGTGCTCTCCTGCACAACATGATGGACTCTCAGACGGGACTTCAGATACTCCAGGAAACGTTTCAGGAAGCCAACAAAATGCTCTGCTGTGCGAATGGTACCAGGGACCGCCTCTGTGTGGGAGAGCCACAGAACACGCACTGATAGTGAATTCAAAACTCAATGAAAAGGATGAAAAATCAAGACAAGATGAATTCGACGGCCGTACCTTTAAGAATCTCATCGGGTAACACAGGATTCGCGAGGTAGACGTCCGTTTCCCTGGCAACATTGGCTTCCTTCAGCCCCTCTACTAGACGCCTGTACTCCATCTTCAATTTTTCAGCATCAGTCTCCTTTATCCTATCAGAGGGCACAGAATGTGGAGCAAAGATGGCAACAGGAAGTTGATGAACTCAATGTGGAAATAACAAATCTGTCCCAATTCCAACATTTAATCTTTCAAGAGGGTTGAACAAAAACAAAGTGAACTGTTGTTACCTGTAGATCTGATTAACAGCAGACAAATAAAGACGTTTATTTAAAAAAAGTTCTCTTTTCAACATAAATAGTAGTTAATTATTGGTGCATGTTCAGTAATATTTGATGCTAAAATACAAAATAAACATTATAAAACTGGTGGGAGTGTTCACAGTAAAGAGGTAAGTATAGAAAGGTATCACTAATTTAATTATGTTGTGTCATCTGTGTTGATTTTAAGCCATGAATTTGACTGGCAGTCAAATCCTTATCTGTCCAAACTTCAGGAAGTGTATCACTGTACTCAGGTATTCTCATACCGCCCCATTGAAGTAAACGCTTTTCCCATTCAGCTAAATCCCCCGGGGGGGGGGGGGGGGGGGGGGGGTGGGACGACACCCTCCTAAACGTGGCCTCCAAAAAGTGTGCGACAGGATGTTCAAGAACCACTTCATACGCTGGTATCTCAAGCGGACGTACAAGCAAATAAACGGTCTCCATGGAAACTGTAGAATTGTGCCGCTGTCAAATCTCCTTCAATGAAGCAAATGCCCTCACGTTCTTTTCCCAGCTAAGGGACCTTTGGAAGGACTCGGAGACGGAAGTGTCACACCTCACACAGGCTCTTACTTTTGGATGGCGTTGTGAAGCGTGTCCACGTTGCCCTGGCAGCGGTCGAGTGTTCGTCTGGTGATGTTCACACTCATCGAGTCGATGCACACATTGTCTGGGTAGAAGACAGGAGGAAGATGAAAAGAGAAGGTTAATGAAGAGACAGGGCGGGGGGGGAGCTTTATCATATTGTATTATGTTATTACGTGAATGTAGGTCAAACTCTTTTAAATCATAGATTGTATTTCTTCTATACGTTATATGAATACACACAACAGTAAGCGTAATTACTTAAACACTAATTGAATTATTGTTACATTGTTAGAATCAGGTTCCTTGCAAAGTAGGTTTTCACACACATGGAATTTGCTTTGACTTTTGGTGCAAGAGAAAATAACAAAGAATCAAGCACTGCAGGGCCAGGAAACATTCAATGGACAATATAAACATTTACAACAAAACCTCCAAAAATGATCAAAGAAAATATGTTCAATGTTATTCGACATGTTGAATTATACATCACCTATGTTGTGGGCCTCATCAAACACCACCACAGACTTCTTGGCCAGTTCTTTGGACACCAGGTCAGCGATCTTTGGGTCCAGCAGGTAGTGGTAACTGTACACCACGATGTTGGCATGCAGGAGCTGAGAGGGAACCGGGTCAACAGGACACGGTCAGAGTTACAACAGCAACCTTCGTGACCAACTTTAGGACATGATGTGGTATTTCCAGTAAAGAACAACCGCGTCACATTATTTCCAGATTGGATTGCCAAGTGGTCCATCACCAGATGTTAGCCGTGAGAAGAAACCAGCTGTGATACTAACAAAGCTTCTCTTCGCGCCGAGCTACTCGTTGTGTGTAGAGCGACGTACCGAGTAGCGCGCCAGATAATAAGGACACCAGCCTTTCCTCCTGCCGAAGTCCTTCAGGTCGTCCAAGTTGTAGATGCCGGCGGGGAGAGGCACCTGCCGGCCGACTGCATCGAAATCCTGTGGACACCAACCGGAACGAGACGTGGTGACGAGAGCGGCAGAGAGGAATGTGCACCTACTGCTGGCTACCAAGCAAGAGGAATCACGTGCACTCGGTTTCGGGCTTGAAAGGCTATTTGGGGAGAATCCTGAAAGCATCCAACATGTAACTGTATAAATACCGTTACTCTAAAGCAGCGATTCCCAAAGTGTGGGGCGCGAAGGTACTGCAGGTGGGCCGTGAGAGGTCATTTACAATAAATAAAGTTTTTTAATTTTCGATTTTTAAAAGTTTGAAATTAATATAAAATATGTATGATGCGGCACATTAGTTATGTGAAACATTAGTTGATGAAGCACAAACAATTTAAACGGACAGATTAATAAAACAATAAGGCTCTCGCTCGAAACGGCTGCTCTTGTCCGCCTGTCGTTGTTCAACAAACGAGGCGCCCTCTTGTAGTATTAAAGTCAATATACCGCATTTTCCGCGCTCCAAGGCGCACTTAAAAGCCTTTAATTTCCTCAATGCCTTATAATCCGGAGCGCCTTATATATAAGGATCAATTGGTTAATTACACGGCGCTCAAGGCACATTTTCTGAAACTTAAGTCTGGAATTTTGGCCGTTTTTATTTTTTGCAAAAGCATATAACAGGGAGCTTGAATGTAGTTGAAAACAAGACTTTGCAAGGCCAGCTCATCTGGACCCTTGATGCAGCTACATGTATACAGCAGGCTAACCTTTTACAGCAGTGAGAGTCAGACGCATGTATATCCACACAAAGGTACACCTCCACCCTACCATTCAATGGGGGCCGTGCCACATTCGTATTTTTGTTGTTCAATGAAAGAATAAAGTTCTTCTTACAAATGGGTTAAGTCAAAAATGTAATTTTAAAAATGTGTATTAGAAATGTTTGCATGCATGTTGCCTTGTGACAAAACAAAATGCATGACAAGGTAAATACAGTTAAATTACCCCAAAATATCCAGTAAAAAATACATCTTTAGGTACAAATAATGATGCTTCACACTAAATAATTAATATTAAAGTGTGATGGTACAATTTTAACACAAACCACTCCCTAATAATGTAATAAGGTATCATCTGTGAGTTATTTGAGGATATTATCCGTACACCTGCCTTGTTTACCTGCCCTTCAGTTGAAAGGCACCAGCTGGTCAGAAGTGGAAGCATTCGGGCGACTTCTTACCTCATAGAAGCGACACACAGGCACGTCGGGGTCGCTGTGGCGCTGTGCGCGGATGTACGAGGCCGTGAGTGTGTGGCACTTCCCATCAACCTCCTTACCGAAGCGCAGAGCGCTAACCTGGAGAGGAGCAGGAGGATGCATTTAATCTGAACCTCACGATGTCGTTGTAGCTCAAAAAGACAACACGGGACAGTTTGAAACGTCCACGCCAGTGAGTTTGTGCTTTGCCCCGTGTTGTACGTGAGGTCCGGACTTTGCGGTGCACCGGCTGTTCGTACCTCGGGGTGGATGCAGAGGTTTTTTCTGGAGGAGAGGGCGAGAGCCATGAAGTTGTTGCTCTCACCAGTCTGCTTAGAATAATACTCCATCAACTTCCGCAGCTCCTCCACAACCTGAGAGGACAAATGTCTCTAAGATGTACTCTTTGATTTTTACTTTTTAAACTGTGGGGGAAGTGTTATTATGTTTTCACATTGACTCGCCTTCTCAATTTCTGGAACAGTTCTGGAGCAGTATATCAGCTTGGTCACTTCCAAAGGTGAGGCCTGAGCGAGCGGGAGGGACAGATATATTGAAGAGGGTTCATGTGACGAGAAACAACAAGAAAACAAAAGCAGCTAAACTCACCTTTTGGTAGGCAACAATGAGAGAGAGCAGAGAGATTGTCTTCCCGGTTCCTGATGGCATCTCCAGGACTCCATGACCCTGGTCAGAAAAAGAGACACATCAAGTGGATGTTGTGAAGCTGTCCTCCCGTAAAAAGAAACCAAAAACTTTAATTCTCCCCCATTTGATTAATTGGTCACCAGCTTTTAAGAGACAAACTCAAATGTGTCGCTGTATATTTGTGTACAGAATGTGCTCTGGAGGAGGGACACAGCCGAGGTGAAGGAAGTACTCAGATCCTTTACTGAAGTAAAAGTACCAATACAACTTAAAAATAACTTTAAATGGGAGTCCTGCTTTCAGAATCTTAAATAAGCATGCAAGTACCATCATCTCCTATCAAAACGTATGAGAAGTACAAGTATTCACCGTGCAGTATGTTCCCAGTCAGTGTACTATTAAATCTGAAGTTTCTGGAGTAATATTACTGCTGCATGAATGCGTTAGTTGTATTTTACTGCGGTGGATGTTATGAAGATCTTTATATCGTGTTATTGTCATATGTGTGTCTAACTCCATATTGTTGCAGTGTGTAATATTACTAATTTGAATAAAAACCAAGCTCCGAAACCCTCTTCAATCCGCTGTGGACTTCTTTCACCCTGTAAACGGATAAAGGAGCGCGACCCACCCGGGCGTCCAGAGTCCTCTTCAGCTCGAGCATGTAGGAGTACTGCTCCGGGTAGATGTAGTCGTAGGGGAAGTACACCAACAGTCCCTCGATGTTGAGCCTAGAACAACAACAACAACAACAAAATCAAGGGACGTCTGCACCAATGATGTGATTGGGGGAGCAATAAACACTGAATAGTTCTTGCTAGCTTCATTACAACAATATCAATTGTCGTTTCTTTTACTCTCGTGATAGAAACACTAACTTCATGTTTGCAACACGTGATTCAGACGCTCCTCTTCTTCTTCTGTCACTTTCGATGTTTACAGATCGTCATTTATAACTTCATAAATGCAAATATAGAGAACAACAAACACGCTGCAGGGATGCACCGACTTCTTCTTCGTGCGTTTTCTACGTCTTTAAGTTCTTGTTTGTTGTTTCCTGACGGTTGTCAAACCAGTTTGAGGCGCGTCACCGCCCCCTGCTGGACTGACGCGGGACCACCACACATTAAGGACATTAAGGACATTAAGCGAGGAGGAGGGAATAAACCAAACTGTGCACACAACATGTCTCAACAATGAAGAGTCAATGTCTCGAATCACAGTACATGATACACATGGGTATACATGTCGCCTTGAAGGCTAATCTATCTATTAATCATTCTATAGATACAAAATGATTGAGCATTATATATATATATATATATATATATATAATATATATATATATATATATATATATATATATATATATATATATATAAATATGTATATATATACCCTAAAACACTTTCAAAATGTTTAAATCATTCAACCTATAACTGCACTACAACTTGAAACAATTTGTATCAAATCTTGAAATGATTAAACTACAAATAGCATTTAACCGTGTTGTAAAATAACCTTTTACTTTATTACCTTGTAGTTCTTCACTTTAACAACTTCTGTTAATTCAAAATAAAGGGACAATCTCAACAATCACGAAATTAAATCACAATTAAAACAAAGCACTTCACAGTATGTGACAATTTCCTGTGTATGCAAATACATGTTTAAGAGTAAAATAGGGGTCTTTGATGTGTGGTCAAAGAATAAAAATCCATTTATTGCTAGTGCAAGACATTTGAGAAGAACCAGTGTTTGAATTCCAATTGAATGTTCTGTTTATTCAAGCCTTATTTCACAAATAAGAACAACATTTAAAAAAAAGCAGAAGTCAGAAACAGCGTGTGAGAGTTAAAGCCTTCAGTTGTCCACACTCATGAGGAGAGCCGTCCCTCTCTTGATCCAGTGGTCTGGGGTCACAGATCCAGATTTGAGTTCTATACCGACCACAAAGGATGGCCGGTCCGCCCCCCCCGAACGTACCGGGTAGTAGTAACACGGACACAGGTACATACCTACACACACATACACAAATAGTCCGATATGAGACAGGAAAACCACGAGGCACGACATTGCAAACTATACATCAATGGAAAAGTTGATTTATTTCTGTATTTCAATGCAGAAAGCGAAACTCATATATTATGTAGATTCATTAATGATGATTATGAGTTACAGCTAATGAAAACCCAAAATCCAGTACCTCAGAAAATTATTATTATTATTAATATTACGTTGTCTAATTAAAATGACGATTTTTTGTCAGTAATGTTGTCCTACTGTAAAGAATGTCCATGTAGAGTAAACACTATGCACTAGGTACTTAGTCAGGGCCCCTTTTGCTGGCGTGGAGGCCATCAGCCTGTGGCACTGCTGAGCTGTTATGGAAGCCCAGGTTGCTTTGGGAGACCTTCAGCTCGTCTGCATCGTTAGGTTCTAGTGTCTCTCATCTTCCTCTTAACGATACCACATAGATTCCCTGTAGCGTTTAGGTCAGGTGAGTTTGCTGGCCAATCAAGCACAATGATACCATGGTCATTAAACCAGGTATTGGTACTTTTGGCACTGTTGGCAGGTGCCAAGTCCTGTTGGAAAATAAACCAGCATCTCCATAAAGCCTGTCAGTAGAGGAAGCCTGAAGTGCTTAAATATTTCTATAACTTTGGACTTGTTAAAAGACAGTGGACCAACATTGGCGGATGTTGTGGCTCCCCAAATCGTCACCGACTGAGGAAACCTCCCATTGTGTGCCTCTCCACTCTTCCTCCAGACTACGGGACCTTGATTTCAAAATGAAATGTAAAATGTCCTTTCATCCGAAAAGAGGACTTTGGACCACAGACATACAGTCCAGTCCTTTTTCTCCTCAGCCCGGGAAAGACGCTTCTGACGTAGTAAAGGAATGTGACAGTTGCAGCCCATGTCCTGGATCCGTCTGTGTGGCGGCTCTTGGAGCACCGACTCTAGCAGCAGTCCACTCCGTGTGAATTTCCTCCAAATTCTTTAGTGGGCTTTGCTTCACAATCCTCACAAGGCTGCTCTTATCCCTGTTGCATGTGCACCTTTTTTCTACCACACTCCTTCCTTCCACTCAACTTTCCATGAATATGGTTGGATACAGAACTCTGTGAACAGCAATGCTTCTTTAGCAAAGACCTTTTGTGGCTTACTCTCCTTGTGGAGGGTGTTTATGACAATCTAGTCTTCCCACTGACTGAACCAGACTGACAGACCATTAGAAGGCTCAGGAAACCTTCATTCAATGTTCAATTTTTTTGAGATACTGAATTTCAGTTTTTTTGTTATTACCGATATGCCATAATCATTGAAATATAAAAGAAAAATGCTTTAAATATATCATCCTGTGCGTAATGAATCTTTATAATATACATGTTTCCCTTTTTGCATTGAATTACTGAGATAAATTGATGACATTCTAGTTCATTGAGAAGCACCTGTGTAAAGACAGATGGAGAAAAAACTAAACCTATAATGAATAATTGAAAATAGAATAAAACAAAGTAAGAGTGGAAGATGGGAAGACAGAGGGTGGGGTGGAAGGGAGAACAACTCACTCTTGGCTGCCTTCTTGCGGTTTTCCACAGGTTTGAAGTGGATGGTGGGGAAGGGACAGACCATCTTCATGGGTTCAGCTTCCACCAGACAGGAGGTCATCTGGCACCAACCAGCCCCCTCCAGGAACAAACCTCGGACATATACTCCATCCTGTTAGGAGGAGGGGGGGGGGGGTGATTACAAAAACAAATACATTTGGCAGAGTCAAGGATGGAGTAGGAATACAATTGTTATGGACAGTGCACATGATGAGGGAAAGATAATGGTTCAGACCAAAAGTGGTCTGATGTTAAGTTCATTCAAATCTTATTGGGAAATAGAAATGTGTGGGGAGCGAGTCACCTTTGGTGGGTAAGTGAGTAACTTGTCATCCACAGTGGATACCACAAACTCCCAGGACAGCGTGTCCACTGATATCTGGAAGAACAGTTTGACACAATGTTAACTGTTGGATGGATGAGAGGTTAAGAATAATCTACGAGTCAACACAGCGAGAGAAAAGTGATCAGCAGGTTGGGTTTGCAGCACGGGGCTTCTATCTGCGTTTTTAAATGTATTATGTTTGCTTGGAAAATTAAACATGGCAACATTTAAAAATAAAACATTTCAAAACATACATTTTAGCTTTTGGTATCCAAACATTTTCTAGTGTCAGTAATCTTCAGTTGTAAAATAAAAACTGCTTTTATATTTTATGGCTTTCAAAGACTAAAATGCCAATAGAATAGATGTAAAGGTAATGTAGTGACACCGTGTTTCTGCCTGTGCGTGTGTGGATGGGGCTTCTCACGTTGTGCTGCCGAGCACAGGACTGCAGCACGGCTGTGAGGAACCCGTTGGGAAAGGTGAAGCTGGAGAGCCAGAACAGTTTGGGGGGCTGGCACGTCTCTGCCCAGCGCGCAAACTCATTGACCCGCAGGCCGAGGTCCTTGGTCCACGAGGCCAGGGGCTTTAGTGAAGGGTACGCCTAGTAGACGGATAGAGAGAGGGATACATCGATGGTAATTACATGCTTCCAGCAGTTGACAGCCATTCATAGTGCAGGTTTCGAAGCATCGCAAGAAAATTCTCGAGACAGGTGTGGGTCTGGCACCTTCTCCCACAGCGGTGGAACACGGGCGTCATGGATGTACTGGAAAGTCTCCTCCAAGCTGGATGACATCACCACCAATCCTTTGATCCCTTTCTCCAGCTCCGCCTGGGAGGAACTAACACACAAACACACACTGAATGTGTTTACTGGTCGTGGCTGGCCAGACTGGATCTATTGGGATTACTGCATTCAGAGATAGACAGGGAAGGTGATTGGGGGATTGCTACTGATTTGCATCTCAAATTGAGATGCATCTCAGTTGCTAGTCCCTCTTTGTGTAGCAGCTGGTTTTGTTTTACATTGAATTCAGATGCATTTGTGTAATTGGTTTATTTGACATTGCCAACATGGCAATTCTGGTCAAAACTAATTCTGCAGGAATTGACTATGGCAATTGATTTAATCTGGAAAACAAGGAAATGCCTTCACACGTCACTATAGTTTGATCACACTTTAGGTTGTCCACATTTAGGACTGATACTCACACAAATTGCGAATTATATTACGGTTAATTTTTTGGGAATTAAGGCGCGAACGGGTTGACAACCATGGCCATTTAGTCTGCTGCCACTGCTAAATGTTAGCAGCACATTCCTACCCCCATTTATCCAGTTAGTTTCCCTAGACCCACGGCCTGCAGAGATTGTGACAATAAACCCTAAGAAACCCACACACAGACATACATGATGGTGTCCAGCAGATAATTGTATCTCTGGATCTCTTGGAGCAGGACCACATTGATAGGTGAGAGGTTGTCCTGGAGAATGGACCTGGTGCCCTCGTAGTCAATCAGTGGAGGGATCTTTCCACGGATGTCAGCCAACAGCTCTAATACCTGAAGGCACGTAGCAAACACAGTACCAAGCCAGATGATTCACAAATTTACTAGCAAAGAAACTGCCATGCCGGATTATTGTGTCGCATAAAAGTGGACAACTTATAATAGTTCACGCTCGGGATCTTGATAATGCTACAATACACACATACGCCGACGTCCCTCATGCTCCAACAACCAAAATAAACCTATTTTTTAGCAATATTACACTACATTTAAAGCATGTTTAAAGCACGTAGGCCATTGTTATATAACACCCAGTGTCATTAATGACATATGGTTTCAGGGAACATAAGAGATCACTTTTGAGTAATTTCTTTATTGTCCTTATTATAGTCTGAATTCAAAACATCCCAAGTATAGTGTAGAAATTCTATTGAAACTGTTTGAGTTTAGTGTTCCGTTGAGTTTTCTGATCTTTAAAAAAGATCATTAGATTGTTGGTTGCATCTTATGCCCATCCATTGAGTGTATTTCAACTAAATTAGTAATCTCTTCATCTCCGACCATGCTTCTCCCTCACCGTATCTTCTCT